CAGTACTGCAGCTTGAGGCCCTTTGGCAGAGTCTACGGCAGGAGCATGCCTTGGGAGTGGGAGAAGAAAGAGCCCACTCCTTACCCCAGCTGTTTCCAAGGTTTCCTGGCCCTAGCCAGGATTGTAGGGATTCAGAGACTATATATCTCCAGGAGTGTAGTCTCCCAGGCTGGCAAACAATATCAAAACAAGTCAACACCTAGGGATGGCCAATGGTCTTCACTCCCTGCCCTCTACGCTCCTCCCTGCAGGACTGTCAGATAAAATAGAGTCCTGGGTCACAGGCATAAGATGGGATAGTCAGCTCTTCTGGCCCTTTGCTGACAGCATAGCATAGCCAGAATAGACTCTGGAGTCCTTTACAGGGAGCGCTGGATAGACTCCAAATTCCTGTAAGAAAACATATTTCACAATCCAAAAGAAGGGAAGAGGAAGGTTAAACCTCAGAGTCAATGTGGGCAGCAAATATTCAGAGCATCATGGAAACAGCAGTCATCCAAACTATCTCAGCTAGAAGAGTTTCAACTATTTTTCAACACCAACTATCTCTAGAAATGTAAGACAATGCAGGTGAATGGCATTAACCTCTGGCTTTATGAGCCCACATGCTTTTGTGTGTACCTCAGGTCGACTAACCAGCACTCAGGACCAAGTTTTCTGGTTTTTTTGGGGGGGTGGGGGCAGCAAGGAATGGGTTTAGCGGTTGAGACGATGCCTCATGTATCCCAGGCTGGCCTCAAACTTGCTACATAGCACAGGATGGCCTTGTGTGTCTGATCCTCCTGCCTCCACCTCTCCAGGGTGAGATCTCACTCATGCACCGCTGCACCCAGTTTATGAAGTGTTGACAACTAAACCCAAGTCCTCATGTGTAGCAAACAAACACTTGCCAAACGAGCTGTTATTCCCAGCCCGAGGACCAGGTTTGATGCTGGAATACCAAACATCCTCATGTGGACCCCATTACATGGTGATCTCACTCTACCTGGAGATCACCACCTTATTTCTCCACAAAAGATCTCTCATTACTCATCTTCACCCCAATACTTAATTCTCATGATGCCATCAAAGCACATGAACATGAACACTGGGCACTGGCTAGGCTAACCTCTAGAGCCATGTAGAATTCACACAGTCTCAACACCACCAAATTGCTTCAACTAACCTAGAATCCTTCATTCTGGTCAACAGTGGCTTTCTCTTTGGCTTTGCAATTTTTTTTCAGAGAAGTTTCTCATCACATTCATTTTTATTCATCAACCTCAAGGTATCTTGGGTCAGGTTTACCCAACCTCAAGGACTGACCTGCAATTCTGGGGTGGTGTCTTGCAACCACCCATCATGTGGCTGCATGCCCCCAAATAGAAAGATGATCTTGTAGTCATCACTCCTGGGTGAGGCTATGGGCCAGAGGCAGACACAGACATCCTCAGAGCTGTCTCCCCACAAGATGTTCTGTCAGTAAATGGCTCCAAGTGGCCTGGAGCTGTGACACCACATTGGTGCTTTTGATGCCAATGGCTGCTCAGTTTCACTTTCCATACACCTTCTTGGACAAGATTCTAAGGAAAGGCCAAGTGGAGCTACCAGTCCTCTAAGACTATGCACAGTGAAGGGCGGGATGTGTCTGTGGAGGGGGCATTGTCAGGGATTTCTCAGGGCGTGTTAGGTAACGAGCGTTCCTTCTGTTCCAAGAGAGGCCAGGTCAAGATGACCCAAAGACACCTGTTTGCCCCCAGGAAGGACTCCCTGTGAGAGGGTATATATCATGTGGCTTTTCTCTGGGAACAGCAACCTGGAGAGGGGTCTATGTGGTGGCAAACACTTTCCTGAAGCCCAGCTCCCACCTTGGGGTGACATGGGGCCCTGTCCTCAGGTGCTTTGTCAACTCCTCTTTTATATGTGTTGTGGTTTGAATACTAAATATTCCCTATAAGATCAGGTGTTGAAGGCTTGGCCCCCAGTGGCTGGCCCTATTTTACGAGGTAGAGAAATGAGAGGAACTAGGTCTCTGGAGGTGTGTCTTTGAAGGCTGGAGCAGGTCCCAGGTCCCTCCATCTCCATCTGCTCCCTGCCCACCGAGAGGTGAGAGGGCTCCTGCACACACTCCCAGCTCTGTGAAGGTCTTCCTCTCCACAGGCTGAATCAGTGGAGCAAATTCTGACCTAGCAGAATTTTCCCCTGAAGTTGTTTATGTTGGACATTTTGTCACAATGACCCAAAGTCTGACTAACACCAAAAAAGTACTGAGCTTTCCAGAGAATTTTCTGAAGACGTCTTTGGTGAATTTTGGTTTTCCTGTTTGTTTAGTTTGGGTTTTGTGTTATTACAGACCGAAATGAGGACCTTGCACTCACTAAGCAAGCAGTCCACCCCTGCACTGTATTCCAAGCCCTCTGATTAATTTGTCCAACTAGTGTTAAAGCCACTGTGCGGCCCAGGCAGGCCTTGAACTTCTAATCTTCCTACTTCAGCCTCCCAAGGAGCTGAGATTACAGGCCTGCATCACCAGGCCCAGCTCCCTGAGTATTTACAGAAAGGTAGAAACCTTGTGTAGGATCTGTGTTTGCTGACTTTTGGAAATTTTCTTGTCATCCTCCAGGTTTTCATTTCCTCATTTGTCCAAACAGGAGAGACTGGCACAGACTTTGTGCATATGAAGGCAGACCCACTTAGTGTAAATTCTGGATTCCTGTCATGTTATGGACTTCTGCACAAAAATCAAATACTACTAAAACCTGACAGTTTACTGAGGGTCTCCACCTTGCCAGAACCTGTGCTAGGCTTAGTATGTACATTAATTCGCCTCCTCACAGCAGCCCTGGAACAGAGACCCTGCTTTCATGTCATTTCATATAAATCGAGGGACAGAGCACTCTGTTACTTCCTAAACCACAGCACTAGTGAGTGATGCTCCTGACCCCAAGACACAGCTCAGAACAAGCAGCGTCTTGTGGAGCTCTGTACCTGTGTGTTTAGAGAGCCCTCCTCACAGAGGTGTGGGGAGTTCACTGAGTGGGACTTAATGGTTTCATCATTAAATGGCACTTGAGGATCAAAGAATAGACGCAGGTCTCCAAATCTTGGCAATGGTGTCTTCTACCTCCCTTGGCCTCTGCTCTTCTGATTCATTCAAGTTGAAGCAGCCTTGACCGAGGCCAGAAAGACAGCCTGTTGCTACCTGTCCTCATCTTCAAATTTCTCTGCTTTCACCTTGGGGACTCCTTCTCAGACTCTTCCCTTGTCCTGGTGTCAAAGCTTCTACCCCGCAGAGAAACACGGGACTCTCAGCCCCCTCTCAATGGCATGGCTGGCAAAGCTCCACATGGGAGACAGAGCCTTAAGTCCTAATGAAGTGCTACCAGTGGGCTCCCTGCAGCAGGCCTAAGAGGAAAATGGGGAAGTCTCCCAAAGCCTCATATATATGTACATATGCATACATATACTTGCTTATGTGTGATGTATGTATTGCATAGTGACCTTGTAAAACAATGGAAATTTTGTTTTCAATGCAAAGTTAAAAATCTTTACCATCAGACTTGAGTCCTGGCCTTTTCCCAGACTCACAATCAGTTGGGCTATGAAGTGGTGCCTAGAGCACCCTCATTCCTGGGAGCTTGGGCTGGATGTGGCAGTGGATCTCAGAAGACTTCCCTATTACCTCCCCTAGGCTTTCCTTATTGGTGTCTGTATTAGTGCCTCCACTTTGTCCTCCATGCCTAGAATTTGTTCTGCCTGGTCTTGTCTGTCGGTGATGCTTCCTGAGTTTTTTTTTAACTTACTTGATTGATCATTTATTCCATTCCCACTATTTTTATTTGGTTCTTTAAGGCTTGTTTATTTTTATTTTCTAGGTACCACATGCATGCAGTGCCCAAGGAGGCCAAAAGAACATGTTTGTTCCCCTGGAACTGGAGGTTAAGGATGGTTGTGAGCCACCTTGTGGGAGCTGGGAACTGAACTCGAGTCTTCTGGAAGAGCAGCCAGTGCTTTTAACTGCTGAGCCACCTCTCCAGGCCCCTATTTGGTCTTTTTCAACGTAACAATTTCCTTGATGAATTTTTCTTCTACAGTCTTGTCAAGGTCTTGGACAGATTTCCTTGAGAGATGCATCTGTTGAGCCTTCCATATGATCATTAATTCTTCCAAAGAGTAAGACTCTGAATTATTTCTCAAACATTTCATCAGTCCCTGAGTTGGCAGGTTGGGAATGGGTTGTGGTCGATAGGTGAGTTATGGTCTTGGTGTTTGTCATGTTTTAGCTCTCTCCCTCCTTTCTAACAACTCAATTTGATTGTTTTGCTTTCTGTAGGTCTTCCTAGGGGGATGTCTGCAGGAAGTTCAGCTACAGAGACCGAGGAATCATGGAGTTGATTGCCAGGTAGGGTCATTGAGGTGATCTGGTCTTGGCTAAGTTACAGCAGGTTTAAGAGCAGGTCCCCACACTGATTATCAATGAGATACAGTTTAAAAAAAACCTTGGCCACACACTGAATTCTATGAACCCACTGGGATCTATAGTCAAAACAGCAGTTCCTCTGAACTCTGTAAACTGGCTTAGGGCTATATTCAGAGCTCCAGGTCTGCAGTGGTCCCTGGGCCCGCTGGAGTCAGAACCCCAGCACTATGGTAAACTTTGGGATTACTAGAGCCAAGCTAGTGAACTGTAGAATCCCCAGAATGAGTCAAAACTCCAGTGCCACATGGTTTACTCTGGGACCAATAGAGCCCGAGCCCTGGTCCTGCCGTGAACTTTAGGGCTGCTGGAAATAAAATCCCAGTCCTCTGATAAATTCTGGGATCACTGAAGTCAGAACTCCAGGCTGTGGGACTGGTGAATCATGGGATACGGGCAATGAAACCCAGGCCTGACAATTAACTTTGAGATTGCTCAAGCCTTGGCTCTTTCATTCTTTAAGCCCCCTCTTCCATGATGCCTCCTGGGCCTTGAGAGGTTGATAATGGTACCTTATTTAGAGATATTACCCAACAGTCACTTATTCTCATCATTTTGACAAATCTGTATTAACCATCACTCAAGGCATAGAGTGTCACTAGTCTGTGGGTATAAGCATTTAAATAGAAGTTTTATAACATGACTATTTAGAGAAACAATGGTAGTAAATCATCCCCACCACCCCTTGAAGCCATAACCACCCTGACCATAGAATTTTGATCTAGTTTATAGTAAGAGATGTGCATTCCCTCCCATGAGTTAGCATCCAATCCAATAACAAATCAGTTGGTTACTCCAACACAGTCATGCCACCATTGCACCAGCAGGCACATATGTTTGCCAGGTCAGTATTGTACCAAGCATGGTCTACATCTATATGAGACTGCTGAGTTTTCCTCCTCCAAGCGTAGTCTACATCTATATGAGACTGCTGAGTTTTCCTCCTCCAAGCATGGTCTACAGCTAGATGAGACTGCTGAGTTTTCCTCCTCCAAGCATGGTCTACAGCTAGATGAGACTGCTGAGTTTTCCTCCTCCAAGCGTGGTCTACATCTAGATGAGACTGCTAAGTTTTCCTCCTCAGCAGCCTACATCATACCTTGTGCCACTACAAACACTACCAGCAGAGGGAGCGTTTCCCAAACTCTTCCAACTTGATTTCACTGTGTCCTATACCCAACGTGTGCAATGTCTTCAGCAACAGGGTCTTACCAGTTAGCTCTTTGGACAACTAAGAGTGACAGAAATGGCCAGTATTCTTTTGGGGACCTCTAGCACCTCTCAGTCAACAATTCATAGGGAGGTATCCCATTCCTGTTAGTAGAATTTTAGTTACAAGCCTATAATTTTTGAAAGTAACTCATGAAAGGTATCTCCATTCCAGGCTCTTTTATTATTTCACTATCATTTAAGGTTTAGGTTATATTGTTTTAGTTTATAAAGTAGTTTTCTTCTCTACAGCTTTTTCATGCATCCTTAATGTTTGTTAATGTTTGTTAACTGTCCCTACTTCCATACTTCCTCATGCCAATACCACTTAAACCTCTTCATGCCCTACCTCGTCATATCCCATGTTCTAGTACTCCCCCACAGGATTCCTCTTCTTACCTCCTGACATATATAGACACTCTTATTTAAATACAGAACTCGAAAAATTTGAAGCTGGGATCCACAGATATAAGAGAGAATATACAACATTTGTCTTTCTGGGTCTGGCTTGCCTCATTCAGTATAATTTTTCCCAGATCTATCATTTCCTTCAAATTACATAATTTCACTTTTTACAGCTGACTGAAATTCCATTGTGTGTATGTACCATATTCTCATTATCCACTCATCTGTTGACAGACATTCAGGCTGATTCCATTTCATAGCCATTGTGATGGAGCTGCAGCGAACATGGGTGTGTAGGTTCCTCTCTCAGAGAGTATGGAACCTTTTGATTACACACCCCAGAGGGGTATAGGTGGATCTTATGTCAGCTCTACTTTTAGTGTTTTGAGGAACTCCCATACTGGTTTCCATAGTGGCATGTTGTTACTCCTCATGTCTCAGAGGCTGTGGCTGGGCACCAACTTCAGAGCCTATTGTTTGGCAGGGAACTACACTTGAGGGTCTGAGAACAAAAAACAATCACAAGTCAGAGAATCTAAACGTAACGTGCCATAGCCCCTAGGTGGTATATGACCATGGGAGGCAGCTGTGGAGACAGGGAGAGATGGGTGCAGACAAGACTGTATAAACTAAGGACATGAGCTCTCCATGGTATGGCTACAGGGATGATTTTTATTATAGATATGAGAGAGAGAACAGTCAGAGGCATCTGGAAGAATCTGCAGCACAGACAGACAGAAGTAGACTGAACATGAGCAGCAGATTAGACCTAGCAAGGGATATCTGTGAGAGAGGGGGGAGTAGTGGCTGACAGAGAATAGAGAACAGATAGTGAGAGAAGCAGAGAGAGAGAGAGAGAGAGAGAGAGAGAGAGAGACAGAGAGAGAGAGAGACAGAGACAGACAGAGACAGAGACAGAAGACAGACTAGCAGTGTTATAGAAAATGGGTAGCTGGTGACCAGACAAAGGTTAACTCTTGAATCCCAGGCATCAGCCTGGGAATCCAGCATGAGACTGATCAAGACCCCATGAATCTGGGTGTCAGTGAAGAGGCCTAGGGAATCTATTGAGCCTTGGGCAGCAGATCAGTACCCATCCCAAGTATACACACGGACTTTGGACTCCCATAGAACAATGTGAGGCGCACTCTCACCCTGAACTCTTGGGGAAGGGTCTAGGCCCTGCCCTATATGAAATGACAGACTATGCACACACCCATGGAGGGCCTCACCCTCCCTGGGGAAATGAGGGGATAACGGGGGGCGGGGTGGTTGGGGGGAGGGCACGGGAGGAAGTGAGGGAATGGGAGAGGGACCTGGAACTGACTTGTGAAGCTACCTAGTTTCTTATCTAAATTTAAACTGGAAAATAAAATTAAAAAAAAGAAAAAAAAAAGAAAATGGGTAGCTGGGGGAGGGAAGCCCATGAAGTTGAGGGAGTTTAGAGTAGGGCATGAGGTGAGAAGGGCTAGGATGCTAGCATGGATTTTGATCCTGGAGACCAGCATGAGCTTTGACATGCTGATGGCAACACAAGTCCCTTCTGCCAGAAGTGAGGGAAATGACTCCTCATAGTAGAGGGGAATCAGCTTCACACGTTCCTAAGGAATGCTGTCTTCTAACCACCAGAAATCCTCCTATAGGCCAGGTTGAGCTCATCTCTGGGGTTTGAGACTGCCTTGGAGTTTGGGGAATTGAGTTTCCTTTGGACCTGACAGACTGGACCTTCCCAATCTCACCCACCCTCAGAAGCTAAGCATGGTTGAGCCTTGTTAGTACTTAAATGAGAGAGAAATTCTTTTACAACACAGTTTCTAAAATTGAATTTGTGTGCTTAGCACAGCAGACTGGCTACTCAACAGCCATTAGGTTTCATGACCTCTTACTCCCTTGACTTCCTTGTTAAAGAAGCTAAAAGTCACATTCTTACCTTCCCAGATGTGTTTGTGGCTAGAAGTCATGTGGCATGTTGTAGCCAATAGACGAAGTCAACAGATGAATCACTGGGTGACTCTTACAGGAAAAGTTATAAAAAGTAATAAATGGACTCATGCCTTCTTGCCGGTTCTTCTTTCTTCCTTTGGAATGCTGATGTCATGCCTGGAGTAGCAGCAGTCATGAGATCTAGGAAGAAAGAAGAAATTAGATGGAGTCTGAGTTCTCGAAGGTGTTCCTAGGCTGCTACATCAGACTTGAGCTGCCTACTGTAGACTTGTGGTACTGATAGTAAACTATCTGTTAAAACTACTGCTGTCACAGTTCCTTACTGAAGGCATCCTGGATGTATATATATTATACGAGTACACCACAATATATGTTCCCACTGACTTTTTATGTATTTTTCCAACTGCTTTATTTGTTTTACTCTGGAAGTTATTAGTCAAAGGGAAGGTGAGATTATGGGAGGTATTTTGTTTTTAATTTTGCCTCTGGATGCGTTGGTCATTCATGGCATTCAGGTGTTTTGTTGTAGCCACAGATGAGTTAGGATTACTTGCAGGCCACTTCAGGAGCCTAAGTCTGCTACTGTCCATTAAGAGTGACCATGTCCAGAATAGGTCTACATAGAAAGATATCTGTGATCTGAGGGGGGAAAATAATAGACAAAAGAAACTGCTCTTGTCTCTGCAGCTTCTACCAGGGGCTCCTTGTTCTCTGGGGCTACAAAGCCTAGCCCAAGTTCTGCCAACCACCACACACCAGCATTTGGAATGGATACTTCTTCGCAGTAGGAGATATCCTGCACATAGTAGGATGTTTAGCAGCAGTCTAGGGGCCTACCCACTGGATGACAGCAGAATCTTCTGTCTCTGGGTTATAACAATTTCAATGTCTCCAAATGTTGCCACATGCTCCCTGGGGAAAGGAGCAAAACTGAGAAGCAACTGGCATAAGGAACAGCCCTGTTCCCCCAAAGAGTGAAGATGCTAGTTCTGTTCATACCTGAGCATAACGGTGACAAAGAGGCCCCCTGGGGCACTGAGCACACCTGTAAAGTGATGCTGCCCACAAGGAGTCAGAGCAGTCTATAGTGGAAACTCACGGAAACACCAGGACACCCCAAAGTGACAGATGGGATCCCTTCTGGCTTCCAGGTATTGTTGATCTCCTGATACCTCAAATGTGCTGCCAACAGTTTTTGCATTTGTAAGTGTGTGAAGAACCATAACTATGGCTTGAGCTCTGCAACCCATTCTGGAATAAGGGCTCCCTCCCTCCTTTAAATTGAGGAAGTCAGTAAACATTCACTGAGCACAGCCCCACAGCAGGCAACAAGCTGGATGCCAAGGCTGTGACAAGGAATACATCAGATAAGATCTTTGCCTCCCAGAGCCAACAGGCACTTGAGGAAGTCAGACTATTAAGCAAGAGATTACAAGACCAGGGTGGATTATCTAGGCTTTCGTTTACTCCTCTGTCATATGGCAAGAACAGTCCTTAGTCACCGAACTTCCAGGTTTGCAGGGGATCATGAATAATGTGTGTGGGACAGCATACCCTGAAGGGAAGTCACCAAAAATAGAGACAAGGCAGAGAGTGGAAAAGAACAGCTGAACTTGGTTAACACAAGTAAAATATGGAGCCCATTCTGTCCATGAAGCAAAATCAGACCAAACCATGACCCATCACTGATGTCTGGTCATGACCCGATACATTTTCTGGTCATTGGGAACTCTGTAGAAACACAGAAAAAGGACAACAAGCAACTTGGGCAACATGAATAACTGATGCAGAAAGCCTCTCCTTTCCATAACATTAACCTGTTGTCTCCTCCTGACCACAGCAGAAGTGTTTGCTACCATATATGGAAAAAACCCAAACTACCATGGTCAATATATTTACACCATGGAAATTGGAAAAAATCCCTGTTAAGCAATTACCAATGCATCCTTTACACAGCTCTTGCTCCTAGAATCCATTGGTGAAATCTTATTTACAAGATCAGCCCTTAACCATGATGTAAGCTAAGAAACAGAGTCTTCCAGCTGAATAGCCATGTGCCAAGAATATTTATATGAAATAAGAGTAAAGTAGATTCTAGATGACAAGCAGGTTCTGAGCACAGACTTGCTGAGAGGACCATAGCCAGGGTCCTGGCAGAATAGATGGAGGAGAGAGTCAAGAAGAGACCGATAATTCTTTAAGGTTATGCAGGTGATGAAGTCTGGACTCAGATGTGGTAGATTTAGAGACCATTTGTAGGCAGAACTCCTGGGCAGCAGTAAAAAAAATGGCTCCAGGAAGGTTCTCATGTACATGGTCTAATCTAATCCACAGGAAGCACTCACCAATCCTAAAGGTGCAGAACACAAGGCCATACGGTCCTTTGGGCTCTCAGAGTGAGCCTTCCAGATCTCCTCAGCAGCCTGAGGAGGAGCAAACACATTTGCCCTCTGTGTTTAGTAGCTTTCTCCAAACTCCTACTCATCAAACATTTCCCTTTTCTAGTTCCCTCCAGAAACAAGGGTTCTCTGGGATTCCCTTTGATAGACGGCATGCCTTGCATTGCCTTATTTCTCACTTTGGTTCCAGTCTCCATTTTATCTTGGTAGTTCAGTAAAAACCTCTAACTTGTCCTGCTTTTCTGCTCCTTCTAACAACTGAGCAAGAGCCAGTTACTGTGAATAGTTGAGAATATATGATCCAGACTCTGGATGCAACTAGTAACACTGATGGCAATAAATAACCACCCTACCTTGGGGCCTCTGCTTGTGAACCAAAACACCCAGGCCTTGGATGGCTCTACTCTAATGGTACCACTATTACCAAATGGTGACTTCACATGCCCAACATGGCATGGCTGACCACATATACTCCCTTCTAGAACATGTTCTGGGTGTCTACAACTGGATTTTATGAATGTCCTTAGGAGATGGACATCTCCCACAATGCTGTCCTCCAATGGCAAAAGGAGCCACCAGGGTGTGTTGTTCTAGGCCTATGAGTTGCCCAAGGAGAACCAGGAGAGTGGTCTGAGTGTCCACATTTCCTCATAGAGCAATGTAGGGGAACAGGATGGCCTGGGTATTGGCAGCCAGCTCATCCCCATGTAGCCATATTGCAGTGGACAGTTCTGACAAGACTGAACATTGTGACTTTAAATTCACCTCATAGGTCATTGCAAAAATGCATTTGTCAAAGTAGGAGGAAAGACAATACACTTTACTTCGTGATCAATATATACATCTCATACACACACACACACACACACACACACACACACGTTTTGCAGGACCCCATGTGTATCTTGTCGTGGAATCCTAAATGTTAGGATCAGCGTATCCCTGAGAGATGTTTCTTTTGGTTCATGTAGTGTGAACCCAGCCTGGCATTTACCATGCACCTCCATGTCTAAGTAACTCAGCACCCTGGCAGTGGAAATCAGGAATCAGCACTCATACACTAAAATTGTCCTTCTGCACTAAAACTCACTTCCTTTTGCATCTGCAAGATATTTGCAAAGCAGGAAACAGGTGGGTCCTTGGAGGTGGGGGCTGGCAGACTTGGCGCTAGCTTGACAAAGACGGTAATAAAGCCAGTGGGGTCATTTGGAAAAGAACAGACACCACAGAGAATGGGCAGGGTGGAGCTAAAGATTTACTCTTTAACATGTGCCCTCAATTGGAGAAAATTATTCACTTTGGCATCTAACACACAAGGATATTCTAAATGGAAGCCTCAGATATCATCTATCACAATGGTTTCCAGGCCTTTTTCTTATCAGCAAAATCAAAAAGATTTATCAAAATGAAAACTTATGTGAAATCCCAATAGTAAAGCAGCCAAAAGAGAAAAACCAATTCCTCAGACAATTTAAACCCTTGCGAAGATTTGGAAAATACTTCACTAGTTACAGACTGGCCCCAAGTTCCTCCTCAGAGGTCTGGGGTCCCTTGAGCAAGGATTAAAATCACTAATTTAGCAATGGCTGGTTACATGGTTGGGACCTGGCCAGTACCCATTCTCTTTATGAGAACAGTCCTTCTCTCTACATTCCCTCACTACAGTTGGACCAAGCAAACCTTCATGCTTCCTACTTCCAAGCCCATAGAGGTCACAGGACCTGGACCACAAACATTTTATCTCTGGCCACAGTGATTGGTTCAAAGATATATGGTGCCTAACATAGAGCCAGTCAGAACTTCTCTCAAGTCTTGGGGAGGGCAGAGTTTGTTCTATTTGTTAGTTCTATCTTTGTTTTTTCAGGACAGGATTTCTCTGTATGTTACGATGAGTTCTTTTCCGCCAGCCTGGGCCCGCTGCCGTATCAACCCCAAATAACACAGAGACTCTATTAGTTATAAAACTGTTGGTCATTGGCTAAGGCTTCTTATTGGCTAGCTCTGTATTAATTATTAACCCATCTCTATGAATCTAAGTATTTCCACATGTTCTTAATCTTACCGGAGAGAGGGTCCGGACCTCTTCTCTCTCAACTGCCCTCTACCTACACTTCCCAGAATCCTCTCTGGCTCCTAGCCCCACTTATCATCCTGCTTCACTGGCCACAGTGCTTTATTCATCAACCAATAAGAGAAACATGTACAGAAGACGTCCTAAGAGAAACATGCGTACAGAAGACTTCCCCCATCATCTGTGAAACAGCCCTGGCTGGAACTCACTCGGTAGACCAGGCTGGACTCAGACTCACAGAGATCCACCTGTCTCTGCCTCCCAAGTGCTGGGATTAAAGGCATGCACGGCCACACCCAACTAGGTCTGTTTTTAATGCTTCTAAGAAAGCAGGTAGGAGAAACCTGAGATGGAGACTGAGTTCTGACTACAGAGGGAAGGTACAGTGAGGTCCATCCTCGATGAAGTCAGACAGCCTGGGGTCACACTTTCATGAGCCAATACAATTCCCTTCTCTGCCAGCCAGTTTAGACTACAGTTATATGCCAATGGGCTGGTCCTGACAGGTCCAGCCCAGGTATTCCACAGGTGAAAATACCAAGACCCAGACAGAGGACAAGTGCTGCTCAAGGCCTCCAGGACCCTGGCAAAGACTCAGCTCCACATTAACTTTGCATTTTAAAGTTTTTATGTCCCTTTTTATTAGTTAAGACTGACTATAACTTGCATGTGGATAAGAAGTCTAGGTAAGTTAGAAACGGTGGGAAGAATACTAGAATCGGGTTAAACAATGGAAGAATAGTTTTTTGTGAAGGCAGGGTGCTTTTGTGTCATCTGACAGCCACAGGTGGTCACTTTGGATGAAGTCAAGCTCTAATATTCCCCAAAGTAACTTCACTATATTAAAATACTGCCTTTTCCAGATTTTTCCTTTTAAAATGCATCACTTCCTGGTCTCAGCGACATCCTGAACCCCTAACATCATCTTGAGAAGATGGTAGCCAACTGCCAGGAAGCTTGAGTAGAGTGGAGTGCTTGCTGCATGGGCATGGAAGCACTGACAGGAAGAGAGAGGCCACCACTGTGCTGCAGACTATCCTAAAAACACAATGACACAAGTAGACAGACCTGGCATCAGACCCTAGTCCAGTCACATCGTTCTTGCCTCATATAGGGCAAATATCTAAAGTTCGAGGCTTCACTTCCTACCCAGTGAACCTCAAGCACAAATATCTGCTTTGTCATGAGGATGAAATAAACTTGTAAAGACCCAAGTGTGTAATATGTGAGTTGCCCTTACGTAAAAGAAAGAAAATTACCAACTCCATTGTAGTGGATCATTTCTACAGTTCTAATTCTTCTGTAATAGATGGTGAGTTTGAGAGAAAGATCTATTTCCCTAGGTGGAGAGCATCCATGGAGGCAACAAGCCTCAGCTCTGCACACTTGGGTCCAGGAGTAGCTAATCTAGACAGGAGCTCATGGCTGGGACTAGAGATCATTCTCACTCTGGTACATTACACACATGAGGTAGAATGTTCTTCCCCCGTCCCATGAGCAGTGGATCCCCAAGTACAGACAGTGTTGGGGAAGTCCTGTTATTTGCCTGTGCATTTGTCAATAAAGTACTGTCTGGCCAATAGAAAACCTAGATAGGAGGGACTAGGAGTCGAGGAGGATTCTGGGAAGGGGAAACACAAGAGAGTCGAGATGTAACCGCCATTGGGGTAGGAAGCTCGGAAACCTCTCCGGTAAGAGACATACTTAGATTAACAATTATGGGGTAAATACTTAAGTCAGAGCTAGCCAGTAAGAAAAAAGCAAGGCCAACAGCTTCATAATGAATATAGCCTCTTGTGTGTTTATTTGGGACTGATGCGGATCTGGAACCAGGCGGGAGAGAAGGCTCCTCTCAAGGAAAGCTTCTCTTAACAAGACAGGAGTAAACTGGGTCCAGCAGCATGGATATGCTATAGAAGTGTCCCAGGCCATAGATAAAGGGACTGCATAATAGTGATGCTTGAGGAACTGGGGTTAAGACTGTTACCCAGCAAATAGTAGCAAATTGGGGCTACAAAATAGATCTAGCCTTACCCAAGATGTTTTTTCCTGGACACTACAAGCAGGGTACCATTTTCAATACCTCAGGATAAACCATGTGGAATGGACTGCTGTGGACAGGGTTGTTGGAATCAGAAGTGGCTCAGGGCTAAATCATGGCAAAGGAAAAAACAAAGAAGCATAAAGCAGGACATTCATCTCCCCCTTTCCAGGCTCCTTCATCTTAAAGTCCAGTGCTGGAGATAAAGATAGAAAAGGCCTCCTGTGCTAGAGTATTAAGAGTCTCATATGTTACTCTTCAAGGGAATTTGCATCTAAAAATCAGAGCCAAGCATCCTCCTCCAGTGTAGGCCAGATGGCCGCAAAGGAGGGGTTCCAGGCAGTGTCCGCCAGTAGTACTGCTATTTCTACCTAGGAGCCAGTGTGGGGCTAAGCAGTCCTTCAGGAGGGGTGAGGAAGGCAGCTCTGTGGTGGAGACAAGGCTGAGCCAGGAGTGGAGGGATTGTAGCATGTTCAAAGATATGTCACAGGAATAATGGAGTGCCCTAGCCTCAGGCCAGGCTGACCTCCCAAAGTATGTGTTTGGGAGTTTGCAGCTGGAGCAGGAGTGCTTGAAGAGAGCCAGGCCCACCCGGATGCAGGCGGGCGGCCGGCCTTCCCACCCACCCCCCTCTCTGGACCCAGTCATGAGCAGAGTCCTGCCAGACAAGCATCTTGAGGAGGTGGGTACCTTGCCTGGGCTGGCTGCAATGTACTAGGACCACCCCTCAGGATACCCCGATGGGAAGCCACAGATCCTGTGTCAGTAAGGCTGTGTCACAATGCAGGATGTGAGTGGGCCAGCTTCGTGGGTGGCAGACATGGCACAGGGACTAGGAAAGAACTGTCACTCAGAGTGCCCTCCCTCTACAGTAGGGTAAGCAGAAGATCACTGTTCCCAGAGCTTCTTCTCCTCCCTCCCATTTCTCCACAAGATGACTTCTTGTGAAGCTTTCAAGCACTCTGCTGAGGGAAAGGGAATTGCTACCCTAGGAGACATTCTTAGATATTGGGGAAGTACAAGAAGCAATGTAGGTCTTTGGCCCAGTTGACTTCCACATGAGATAGAAATTGGTGGTACATGTGAACTCAGGGATCAAAGGCATTTCCTGAACCCAGATGGGCTGAAGTAAGGCTGGGGGGGGGGACATCACCTGGCAAGAGTGTTTCAGTCCTAGCCATTATCCCTGGCAACAGAGACCCCCATGAATCTTACATGCTTCTCTCTGCCACATAGGACAGCCAGACTGTCACTCAGTGTACCCAAGAGGCAGCGGGGAACTTGGCTTCAGAATCATTGGGGCTCAGACGGAGGGAGATAAGGCTAGATGGACCTTGACCCATAGATGGGGGATCTGGTTTTAGATTAGCTTATGTCCCTTCCATGAGTCTTGCTATGGTATCCACAAGTCACCAAAAAAGGCCAAGGCCATAGGGCTTCCTCTTCAATGGGAGAAAAGAGGACCTCCCTGTCTGAACGCCTCTACACCCCAGCCCTCATCTAGGGTGGCACCTCAGCTAACAAGCATGAAGAATGGAGTGCTGGGATCCTCTCTGCGGCTCAGCAGAGTCAGCTCTTCTTCTCTGACCACACACGCCTCTTGCTGTTTCTTCTGTCCACTGGCTAAGGTCTCAGCTTGTCCATATCCCCACAGTCCACAAACACAACCTTTACACAGGGCAAAGACCAATAGACATTCCCAGAGCCACATATACTTCCTCGTGTGCATTCACAGAGATGCCTTGCTCAAGCACTCAGGCATACTCGTTTCAAACACACACACACATACTCTGAAGCACTCAGGAAATACACAAATGTTGCACATTCTTACACAAACACACTTTATAGTGTTCCTATGTCACAGCTTTTCAAATGCTTGCATAGAATTTCATATCTGAGTAGACTCCCACAAGTATACAGATCCATACATATGCATAAACTCCTACATGTGTGCATATACTCTCACACATGCATATTCATATGCATTCACATTTTATCATTAGCCACAGAAAAGTTTATAGAGGGCAAGAACCACTAACTCCAGTCACCATTCCTTAAGATCTCCTCTTTAGAACCTCCTGCAGCCTCTTCCAGAAGCCCTTCCCCTCAAGACACCCAATATGAGTTCTCTGGTAAAACAGCTTTGTAAACCAGTCATTTCTGTTTTACATGAGCCATGAAATTTGCCTTGTTTAAATACTTCCCCAGTGACCAAAAGCAACCTGGGAAGAAAAGGGCTTATTTGGCTTACATTTCCACATCATAGTCCATCACTGAAGGAAGTTAGGGCAGGAACTCAGACAGTGCAGGAACCTGGAGGCTGGAGCTGTTGCAGAGGCCATGGAGGAGTGCTGCTTACAGGCTTGCTCCCAATGGCTTGCTCAGCCTGCTTTCTTATAGAACCCTGGATCACCAGCCCAGATATGGAACTACCCATAATGGGCTAGGCTCTCCCCAACTGATAACTAATTGAGAAAAACCCCTGCAGCTGGCTGTTATGGAGGCATTGTCTCAATTGAGATTCCCTCCTTTCAGAAGACTCTAGCTTGTGTCAACTTGACATCAAACTAGCCAGGACAACTGACCTCTTGTCAACTTGACACAAACATCACTGCTAAGCTATAACCTTCCCTTTCTTGTTCATCCCCAAGATCACACATTAACATTTTACAATCTTTAAAAGTCCCACAGACTTTACAAATTCAAACACTTTAAAATTCAGTCTGCTTAAAAATCCAAAATCACTTCTAAAACCTAAAACCTCTTTAAAAGTTCAGTCTCTCCACTGTGAGCTCCTGTAATATCAAAATTAAGTCAAAGACTTTCTTACTTCAAGAGGGAAGAACTAGGGCAGTCACAATCTGAACAATGTAAAACAAAATTCCAAATGTGTAAATAATTCAGCATCCAAGTGTCTGGGATTCACTCACTATCTTCTGGGCTCCTCCAAAGGGCTTAGGTCTCTTCTCTGGTTCTGCCCTTTGCAGAACACACAGCTTGTCTTCTAGGCTCAAGCTGGCTCCTCAACTCCATTGCTGCTGTTCTTAGTGGCCATCCCATGGTGCTGGCATCTCCAAAGCAATGTGGCTATCTGCTTCACCTGGGCTACACTTTCACCAATAGCCTCTCCTGCACTCTCTTCAGAGACTACAGTTCTGTCACATGATGCCAAGTCTCAGCTGCTCTCAATGACCCCCAGTCCCGTGCCTTCAAAATCAGCACCACCTGGGTGACTCTTACACTACCAAATTCAGCTGCCAGTACAAGGTACAACCTTGGCCATCTCTGAACACAGCTTCTGTATGCCAACTCTTAAACACATCCCAGAAGATTTTACCTCAATGATACTGGCCTCTTCTTAATCACAGTCAATTGCATCAGCCCCAGCTGACCAGCATTCGCTGCCCCATCAAAGGTTTGACTTTAGAGCTTCTGGTCTCTTGTGAATCACAGCTGATACTTTAGCTCCAACTGACCAGAAACCATAACTTGTTCATACAAAAGGCCTGATACAGTCTTTGCTTCCCTCTGAAACTTCACAAGTCAGGCCTCCACTGTCTGAACAGCTATCAACATCGTATCTTCCAAGTTCCTACAGAACAGCCTACTGAGCTTTCAACACTCAACGACATTTCTAGCCCAAAAATTCCAAAGTCCTTCCACAACCCTTCCCAAAACAATATGGTCAGGTCTGTCACAGCAATACTCTACTATCCTGGTACCAACTTGTTAGAGTTTCTATTGCTGTCATGACCATGACCAAAAGCAAGTTGGGGAGGAACCAATTTATTTGTCTTACACTTCCACATCAGAGTCCATCATTGGAGTAAGACAGGACAGGAATGCAAACAAAGCAGGAACCTGAAGGCAGGAACAGATACAAAGGCCATGAAGGGGTACTGCTTACTATCTCGCCCCCCATTGCTTGGTGAGCTTGATTTCTTATAGAACCTAGGACCCCTGCCCAGGGATGGGCACCACCCACAATGGGCTGAGCTCTCCCCTATCATTCAATAATTAAGAAAATGCCCTACAGCTGGATCTTATGGAGGCATTTTCTCAATTGAGGTTCCCTCCTTTCAAATGACTCTAATTTGTGCCAAGTTAACATAAAACTAGCCAGGACACCATTATCCCATCTATAGAATCCTTTCCAATCTATAAGCCCCTGCCACCAATGAAGCAGCCCCTGGCTGAGAAGCACTGATCTGGAAACAAACTTGAACCCTGAGAAGAGTGGTCACCCATGCAGGTATACCCTGTATTGTAGGTACAAATCTTGTGTCACTTATTAGATATTGGAAGTCTTGAGGACAAAAGATGGTATTGTGACCCTCCCCTTCTCTTGTGGCTTTAATACACCCACTGGACCTCAGTTCAGCTCTGCCCAGGGTACTACCCTATGCTGCTTCTGATTTAATTGAAGCCTTACTAGTTAAAAGGCATCCATCCTTGCCTCAGATTTACCCAAGCATAAATCCCAGCCCTTTTAACTGCATCGCTTGGACGATCTCCTCTAATATTTCTGGGCCTCAATCTCCTCATGTAAAAATGTAAAACAGTAAGAGCTCTCCTGTAGTTCTTAGAAGTGGCCATGAAGTGCTCCAAACAATTCCTGGCACATGGTGTACAGCCCAACACGGCGCCTCCTTTGTCTCTCTCATCCCCCTGTCCACAATCCAAGGAGACTCACCCTGCAGGCTGCAGCAGGCTGGAGCAGGCTCAGGAGAAGCTAGGGACACCTGGCTCCAGCCCACATCCCCTCACACAGGCCTGCATCTAGTCTGTTCCCCCTCATGTGGAGTTCCAGAGTTACATGACATCTTTGATTAATAAGAAGCAGAAAGATAAGTCACATGATAATTAATAAATCATTAGCGGCATTACTTTTCATCAGATAAGTCCATTAATTGTTCCCATTTCCTTACAAAAAGCCCAGGCCTTGAGCCCCCTCATAGTAAGTTGATTTTATGATAAATACAAAACTATGAAGGAAAACAGATCTGTGGAGGGCTGAGCTACATTTACCTGCAGGACAGAGAGAGTGTGTGGCCAGTCACAGCTCTGTTCTTGAGCATGCCGGTAGAGTACCCTCTAAAATCAGCATTCATCAAACAAACACTGGTAGGGCTGGCTCCCCCAGACATTCCTATCCCATAGCTAGCCCACAGGTTTCCTCTCTGGTAGCAACACCAAGTGTCTGCCAGTGCCCCATGTCGCCACACTAATAAAAATGCATCTAAACTGAGAGAGAGCTGCAAAGTGCCTAAAAACCTGATAATGCCCTTCAGGTGCATGGGCAGGGTAAGAAGCACAGGGACACGTGTGCACAATTCATTTGTTCATTTTCTCACTTTCATCCTCCGTCACGCAAATGATTAGTAAGCATCTATTGACACAAGGGACTTGGGAAAATGTGTGGGAGAAAAAGAGACAGTACTTGCTTTCATGGAGTCTATATTTACTGTCTCAGGGGCCCTTGTCCCTTACAGAGGATGAAACTGATACAGGAAACAGCCATACTGAGAATCAGTGGCAAAATGGAGAATGCTCCTTCTCTCTCCCTTTGTGCCCCATCTGTTCCCGCAAAGACCCAGCAGAGGGGTGCTACCCCCCACATCCCATCCCTGTGACATCCACACCCCAGAACACACAGCTGTTCTGCCACCCTCTCCTGTACCCTTCCCACCCTCTAAGAACGGTAGCACAGGCTCACGCTCCTTGAAGAAATGCTTTTGGACACATTGTGTAGGGGGACCATGAAGTTGGCCCACTGGTGAGATGGAAAAGCCAAAACAAGAACAACAACAACAACAACAACATCAACAACAACAACAACAACAGCAACGACAATTCAGGCTGGAGAACTGGCGCACCAGTTAAGCGCACTTGTTCCCACATACACATGGTGGTTCACAACCTTCCATAACTGCAGTTCTAGGGGATCCGATGCCTTCTTCTGAGATCTGTGGGCATGAGATATGCATGTGGTGCTCATAAACACATTCAAGGAAAGCACCCATGTCTTAGTTAGGGCTTCCATTTCTGTGAAGAGACACTGTGACCATGGCAACTCTCATAAACGGAAACATTTAATTGAGGTGGTGGCTTAAGTTCAGAGATTTAGTCCATTAGCATCACATTGGGGAGCATGGCAGCATCCATGGTGCTGGCTATATCTTGATCAGAAGGCAATAGGAAATTGTCTGAAGGTCACACTGAGCAAAGCTTGAGCAAAACAGACCTTAAAGCCCATCTCCACAGTGACACACTTCCTCCAACAAGGCCAAACCTACTCCAATAATGCCACACCTCCTAATAGTGCCACTCCTTATGATTTTATGGGGGGCAATTACATTAAAACCACCACAACTTGTATATTTAAAAATAAAATAAAATACTCTATTTTTCCCCCAAATTAGTAATAATAAGTGTGAACAATGAAGTGAATCAACTAGGAAGACTGGAAGCATGCTTTATTAACGTGTTAGATGGCTAAAGGCAAGAGGCGGCCTTGCAAAATGAGGAATCCAGAGAGAGAGACTGCAGGAAAAGGCAAGTTAGAACCGGGCTCTCGGGATACTAGTAGGCAGTTTCAATCTGTCCTGTGGCTTCTTATTGGCCTCCCTGAAGGTATACTCCAAGGTACCATTGCATTAACTCAGTTTACGCTCTTACAGGATTGGTCTTGTTTGCTGTTTGACTCATGATCAGAAAGTTTCCTACACAGCCCATAGCCAGCTGCCTGGGGTTGCTTCTGCTCATAGTGGGCTGGGCTGTCCGACATCAGGACACAGGACAGTCCCTCCAGACATGGCCACAGGCTAGGCTGATCTGGGCAACCCTTCAATTGGACTCCTTTAGATAACTCTAGGCTGTGCCAAGTTGACACCTGAAGCTATCTAGGACAAGGACCTGTGAGACATAACCCATTGAACTAATATATACATTACCATAGTCCCAGAAAAAGTGGAGAAAGTAGGAGAAATTCTATTTTAATAAATAATGACCAATAAATTCATAGAGCAAGATGAACATACAGATCCATAAACCTGAAAGAGTCTTAAGTAGAGCCAAGTGAAGAGATTGTGCCTGATTTATTATAATCTAAAGGCAGGTAGGTGCTTGACGAAGAGATGCACAGGTGGAAGGCCAGAGTGGACGACACGTGAGATCCTGCCTGGGGCAGGGTGTGGGTGACAAAGAACGACATTTGAAAGAGATCAGGGACTCAGCACACACAAGAAAACCTACAACTGTCAATGCATCACTCTGCAGAAGGCTGGAAGGCTGAGAGATGACAAACAAACCCAGCGGGCTGGAAAACAATCATCTTTTAAAAAGTACCAAGTCGCAGGTAGTGGTGGTGCACACTTTTAATCCCAGCATTCAGGAGGCAGAGGCAGGCAGATCTCTGTGAGTTTGAGGCCAGCCTAGTCTATATATTTTTAATTCTCCAGCACATCAAAGACAAATATAAGCATCTGAGGGAGAGATTTTTGTAATAAACATTCTAAGCCAATGATAAAAAGCTCCAAAGTATGAAGAATTCCAGATGAAGAATTTCACATATAATTCACAGAGAATAAACAAAAGGCTCAATAGCCAGGGCTCTCCACCTGCACACCTTGGCTTTGTGACTAGGGGTGCTGGCATGGCATTTCTACCACCACCATCACCACCATCACCACCATCACCACCACCATCCCTACCACCATCATTGCTGTCCAATTGTGAAGGTCAACACGGCTCCCGACACTGCCAAATGTCCCCTAGAGGCAAAATCAACCCTAGTTTAGAATGTAAAAACACACCCAGTCTTCTGAATGAACAAGTAATTGAAAAGCAAAATAACAATGCCACTCTCTCAGAATAGGAAGATTCTAGGACACATGCCAAAGGTTTGAGGAGGAGAATGTCTGTGTTTTTGGTTCGTGGGAACACAAACAGGAGGGACAATTTTAGAAGAGAAGCTGGCAGCACGGAGCAGTTCTTTAGATGGACCTTTGCCTTGACTCAGCAATTCTCCACTCGCGCAAAGCCAGGCACAAGAGTGCATAGGGACATATGTCCAAATGGTGCTCCGCGATAACTGAGAATTTGGAAACCACAGTAAAATGGATAAAGGACAGTTAAGCTGGTATATTGAAGAAAAATGGAAAATAAATGTCCAAGACATGTTGCTGAATGAAATAAGGCAAGTTACAAAAACATGGCCTAGTATTTATTCTTAAAGTTAAAATACTGTACTCACAAATGCTTGTACACGCCATTATAAAGTGCAAACTCCTAACAGCACTTACTCCCTGAGGCAGCATGGGGTTGAGTTGAGCTTGGAGAGAGAGGGGAATATCTTCCTGTTGTTTGCTTTGTGGCATTCTGTGTGGCTGGAGTTTGAACAGTCACCAGTATCATTTGCAAAATTTTTAAAATGAGGTCTTTAAAAATGCCAAAATCGAAAGTATTCATATTACATGAGTCAAGTCCCACTGATGTCCGTGGACCGTGTGTATGTCACTTTTCCCATAGGTCAGATTCTGGAGGGTGGCACATGCACCAGGACGTGGGACATTTCAGCCTGGGCTCATTCAGGTTACACTGCCAGCTAAGGGACCTGGAGTATGACTGCAGCAAAATCAGATCTGGGCGGAGCCTCAACCACTGGCTCTAGACTTGCTGGGCCACGCATGGGTTTTCTTAGCAGTTCCCTGAAATGATCTGCAAAGGGAGCTGGTCAAGTGCAAAACCAGTTTTCTTTTCGCTTTCACTTCATGCTGCGACAGTGGGCCTCCTCACTCTCCTCAGCAGCTGTTGTTCCCCGGGACCATGTTCAGTTTACAATCCCTGGGCTCCTGTCCACTTCCCCACAGTGAATTGTCCCCAAGACACAAAGAAAACACAAGTTCTGAGGTTTGGAGCTATTTTTAATTCTCCTTTTATTTTCATAGCATTATAATTCCTAAATTATGTTTTCAGCTGGGAACATGCACCAATGGTTTAAAATAGTAGCTTTGAAGCATAAGCATGTTCCCAGCGAAAGTGTGAAGCTATGTAGGCAAACTCTGCGGAGCCAGGAGACACAGTGGTCACGATGGGCATGTTGCTGATCTTAAGGTTCCCCACAAGATCCCCAAGTACTGTAAGGACTAACGCTCCATCCCAACTGCACCCGATGAACTGCTAGAGTAGCCTACTAAAATACCCTGGACTGAGCTGAGGGGACATGTTGGCAGAGTTACAGATCAGCATATGAAATCATAGTACAAGGTCATTGCAACTACAGCCATACTGAAAAGTATCCCTGTGCAGTTTGAGGTCCAATTTATCTGCCAACATTAAACTACCAAGAATAAAACTGTCTGTCCAATAGGTCCATCTATCTCTTCAACTTCTGGGTTTTTTAATTGTTTTTAATGTCATTATTTTATGTGATGGGAGTTGCCTGCATGTACCTGTTGTGTGTCAAGTGCATGCCTCTTTATGTGTATGTGTATTTGTATGCAGGTGTGTATGGACATGTATACGTAAGTTGGGGGAGAGGCCAAAAGAAGGTGTTGGACCCCTGGAAGCTGGAATTATAGGCAGTTTGTTGCTTTTGTTGTTTCTGAGACAGGGTTTCTTTGTGTAGCTTTGGAGCCTGTTCTGGTACTTGCTCTGTAGACCATCTGGCCTTGAACTCACAGAGATCCACCTGCCTCTGCCTCCTGAGTGCTGGGATTAAGGGCGTGCACTACCAACACCCAGTTGCGCCCCCACTGCCCTGCATTACAGGCAGTTTGTAGCATTCTATGTGGGTGCTGGGACTTGAACTCTTAGTCCTCTGAAAGAGCAGTAGGTGCTGGTAACTCAGGATCTCTCCAGCCCTTCTTTTGTTTGTTTGTTTCAAGACAGGGTTTCTCTGTATTGCTTTGGAGCCTGTTCTGGAACTCTCACTCTGTAGACCAGTCTGAACTCAAACTCACAGAAATCCACCTGCCTCTGCCTCCTGAACGCTGGGATTAAAGGCGTGAACCACCAACACCCAGCTCTTTTTTCTTTTATTCCTAGCTTCAGCATATTAGAGAAAACATATGTTTGCCTTTCTGAGTTTGGCTTATTTCACTTAACACAATGACCTCTAACTTAACTATTTTTCTAAAAACAACATAACTTCTTTTTAAAGTTATTTGAAATGGCGTCTCTCTGTGTAGCCAGGTAGCAGCCTCTAACTCTCTACCCTCCTGCCTCAGGCTCTTAAGTACTGAAGACGCAGGTATGTGCCACCACATCCAGCCAAGGTGAGTTAATTTTTATAAAGTGTTTAGAACTGTGCCTGGTGCAATAGCATTCTTGTGCTGGTGTTAGCACTGGCATCATCACTCCTAGAATTATATATTTTTTTTACTGGACTTCTGGTCTACCAAGGCAGGAAACCTTTTCCTCTTTCTTCTCCTGCAATCCCAATCCCTGGAAGAAGGTAGGTAATCAAGATCTGATGAACAAGACTGGAAGCTGGATGAGTCTGCCCTCCAGTGTCCCGGTATCCCAAAGGCAACAACTCACCATCCTGTGCAGATGAAGGGGTAGACCCCACAGGGCTTGCTCCAGGATTCGGGATAACCTGATTAGTCACCACAGGGCTTTCTCGGGGCAAACTCAGGCACCCTCAGCAGGACCTGCCTTCCCAAGGACCTAGACTTTGTCTGAGTCCAGAATGACTGCCCTCTCTACCCTGAAGGGTCATTGTGGTGCCAAGACACCCTTGGGCAGAGATCTAGAAAAATGTCATTCCAAGGAACTTCTGCTGCCCACCATCTGTATTCAGAACAACTGATTCTCAATCCCTTGTAGTAAGGGCCCTCCAGCCCACCACTCTGGCATCTATCTGAGGGCACCCTTCACATTTGAATTGCCCAGGCCACATCTGTGTTTCAGACCTAGCCTGGCTCTCACAGTCCTCAGATTTAGTATGGAGCCCTCAGCACAGCTGCTCAACCTAAGCATAAGCCAGAGGCACACGTTCTAGCCTCACCAGCTATGGCACTATTAACCCCATCCTCACCTTAGTGGCCAGCCTGCAGCTGCCCAAAGCCCCAGATCCAGCACCTCTGTGGCTGGTTCCCCTCTCTCCATCTGCCCTTTGAATCTAGCTCAGAATTCTGTCAGTTCTGCTTAACCTATGGCTTACTCCAAGGCACACTTGCCCAGACATCCTGCTATGACTTGACAAATTCATTTCATGCCCCATTATTTACTCATATTTTTGTCTCTATTTCAGGATGGGCAAGCCTTTTGGAAGTTATTCACATGTGTCTAACGTTCATCCCATAGTACAGGACAGAATCATCATTTAGGAATACTGATTCAACAGCCGAATGAATGAATGACAAGACAGTTATTTCTCCAGGACCCTGTGGCACATAGGAGTTACACAGTGGAACTATGGACTATAACCCCAACACTTGTGAGGCTGAGGTAAAATTTCAAGTTACAAGGAAGCCTGAATTACATAGGAAAAGAAAAAAGAGAAGAGAAAAAAATTATTATTTTCAAACCTCTTATGTTTCTAGAAGTTCTTCATTAAGAAAAAAAGACAAAAACAAGACAAAAGGGCCAGCCAAGAACTGGAAAACAGTCCTATAACACGCAGGCCAGGGCTAGCCAGGAACAGATGTTTTGTGGAGAGCCCAAGTCACCCAGCTTGATACCCCTCCCTCTTCGTGTGAGTCCAACCCAGCCTCCTTCCCTTGGCATTGACTGGACACCTGTGTCCATGCTTTAATCCCCAGGTAAGCTGCCTATACATAGCCTTGCATCTCCCCTTTCCTGGCCATGGGGACATCAATAGTCAGGCACACCTGTGTGCTGGTGGTCATTGATCTGTGGGTGGGGACTAGCAGGACAGAGGCCTCAGCTTTTGAAGCGCTGACAAGGCTGCTCCACTAGGCCTGACCCTTGACCTACAGGTGGGCACAGCTATTGTCCCTACATGTCCTGACCACTGTCAGTCCCATCGCAGAAACCTGTGAAGGTATTCAATTCAGGTCAGCGCAAAGCGAAACAAACAGAAGGGCCAGGGGGCAAAGTCTGTGTGGAAGGCTTTGCTGGACAGGGAAGCCATTGCTTGCAGGACAAGGATAATCCTCATCAGGTAGGTCCCACCGGACAGCAGGGGGCCACCTGTTATAGCATGTTGTCTACAAATGTATGGCTGAGGTCAGGTCTCCAAAACAAGAGGACTGGAAAGCAGGGGCTCTGCAGAATCGGAAAATGCCTGGGCATCAGAAAGCAACACCTTACTGTTTTTGAATGCATGGAGAGGCACAAAGCACACCAGGCACGGGGCAGAGAGGCAGAGCTGACACAGCCTCCACAGAGCCCAGGAGATGCAGGGAACTCGGTCAGCTCACCTGCATTCACGGGGGAAGAGTCACCAGAAGTCGTAACACAGCTGGCCACTGTCACTGTACTGCTGACAAAACAGCAGAGTGTCCCTGAACCTCTGCTTTGGGGAGTCTATGATATTCAGCAGACGAGGACAGACCTGGATCTGATGCCACCTTAACCACAGATCGGCTACAGAAACTCATTCAAGTGACTTACCCCCATAGGTCCTCAGGTAATTCATCTGTAATCAGGTGTGCCCAAGTTCAACAAGAATGGATGCTATAGAGATCAGTCATGTGCAAAATTGCCTGATCCCACTCTCAGCCTCTCGCTTCCCACCACCTACCCAGCACAGCAAGCCCTGCAAGTGTTTCTAAGACACTAGGACCTCTCAAGCACATTGACGTTAACTACAACTCACATCCAAAAGTCACGTAACAGGAAAATAATGGTTTGAGACTGGACATACTTCAGATGTGAGATTTTGTTGTATTTTATAACTTCTGCATATACCTCATGAGTCAACTTGGGATGGGACCTAAGTCTGAAGATATACACACAGCCTAAAGTAATTCTATACACTACTACTTGTGCCTGCATTTTGACTGGTATGAAGCACTCAAATGGTAGAGCATTCTGGATTTCACATGTTTAGTTTGTATTAAAAATGTAGCATAGTGGGTCAGGCAGATACCTTAGTAAATAAAATGACACTTGGGGCTTGCTGGCTGTTGAGATACAGGACAGTGAGAAAATGTCTCAAAGCACACTGTGGACAACTCGTAAGGAATGAGCCTCCAGGTACTTCTTGCCATCCATATGCCCACATGTAGTCGGACTTTTCTTTGGGCTACCAGCTCACAAATAACGGAGACTTACTAATTATGAAAGCTTGGCCTCAGCTTAGGCTTTTTACCAACTAGCCCTTACAACTTAACCTGTTCTTATTCATCTATGTTCTGCCACATGGCTTGGCTACCTCTCTTCTGTCTGTCTTCTTCAGTCTTGCTGGCATCTCCACCCTCTCCTTTCCAGAGTCCTCTCTCTTCCTGGAAGTCCTGCCTACCCTCCCCTGGCAAGCTATTGGCCATTCAGCTCTTTATTAAACCAATTAGAAGGTGCCTTAGGCAGAGACACATCTTTACAGTACACAAAAAAATTGTCCCACAACATCCAAGCACACAATACATGATCACTCACACACATGTACAACTAATCACGCATGCATATACACATATATACATATACACATGCAAAAAGGTATACTATAACATTAATGTCTATGGGATTTCTATCTAATTTTTTAAAAAATTAAGGCCAGAATCTACCACAAGTATTAGTCTTAGTTTCTTTCCTGCTGGTATGATAAATTACTATGATAAAAGCAACTTAGGGGAGAAAGGGTTATTCTGGCTTGCCATTTAAGGGTATAACATACTATAGAGGAGAAGTCAAAAGTAGAAGGAGCTAGGAGCATCTGATCACATGGCATTCATAGGAAGCTGTTCAGCTCCTTTCTCTGCTAATAAAGGAATATAAATATACTATAATTCATTGAAAGCTTTATTATGTTTATTCTGGAATATAAATATCTATCTACCTACTGTGGTAGTATGAATGAAATAACCCCATAGGCTCATAGGGACTGGCACAATTAGGAGGTATGGCCTTACTGGAGTAGGTATGTTGTTGTTGGAGGAAGTATGTCACTGCAGGGGGGCATTGAGGTCTCAGAAACTCAAGCCAGGCCTAATGTGACGGTGTCTTTTCCTGCTGCCTGCAGATCAAACTGTAGAACTCTCAGCTACCTCTCCAGAACCATGTCAGCCTTTGTGCCACCACGCTCCCACCACGCTCTCACCATGCTCTCACCACACTGCCACCATGCTCCCACCACACTGCAACCATGTTCTCACCACACTGCCACCATGCTCTCACCACACTGCCACCACGCTCCCACCATGCTCTCACCACACTGCCACCACGCTCCCACCATGCTCTCACCACACTGCCACCATGCTCCCACCACACTGCCACCATGCTCCCACCACACTGCCACCACACTGCCACCACGCTCTCACCACACTGCCACCATGCTCCCACCGCACTGCCACCATGCTCTCACCACACTGCCACCACGCTCCCACCACGCTCCCACCATGCTCTCACCACACTGCCACCATGCTCACCACGCTCCCACCATGCTCTCACCACACTGCCACCACGCTCCCACCACGCTCCCACCACGCTCTCACCACACTGCCACCATGCTCACCACGCTCCCACCATGCTCTCACCACACTGCCACCACGCTCCCACCATGCTTCCACCACACTGCCACCACGCTCCCACCACGCTCCCACCATGCTCTCACCACACTGCCACCATGCTCACCATGCTCCCACCATGCTCTCACCACACTGCCACCACGCTCCCACCATGCTCTCACCACACTGCCACCACGCTCCCACCATGCTCTCACCACACTGCCACCACGCTCTCACCACACTGCCACCACGCTCCTACCATGCTCTCACCACACTGCCACCATGCTCCCACCATGCTCTAACCACACTGCCACCACGCTGCCACCACACTGCCACCACGCTCCCACCATGCTCTCACCACACTGCCACCATGCTCCCACCACACTGCCACCATGCTCCCACCACACTGCCACCATGCTTCCACCACACTGCCACCATGCTCCCACCACACTGCCACCACACTGCCACCACGCTCTCACCACACTGCCACCATGCTCCCACCGCACTGCCACCATGCTCTCACCACACTGCCACCACGCTCCCACCACGCTCCCACCATGCTCTCACCACACTGCCACCATGCTCACCACGCTCCCACCATGCTCTCACCACACTGCCACCACGCTCCCACCACGCTCCCACCATGCTCTCACCACACTGCCACCATGCTCACCATGCTCCCACCATGCTCTCACCACACTGCCACCACGCTCCCACCATGCTCTCACCACACTGCCACCATGCTCCCACCACACTGCCACCATGCTCCCACCACACTGCCACCATGCTTCCACCACACTGCCACCACGCTCCCACCACGCTCCCACCATGCTCTCACCACACTGCCACCATGCTCACCATGCTCCCACCATGCTCTCACCACACTGCCACCACGCTCCCACCATGCTCTCACCACACTGCCACCATGCTCCCACCACACTGCCACCATGCTCCCACCACACTGCCACCATGCTTCCACCACACTGCCACCATGCTCCCACCACACTGCCACCACACTGCCACCACGCTCTCACCACACTGCCACCATGCTCCCACCGCACTGCCACCATGCTCTCACCACACTGCCACCACGCTCCCACCACGCTCCCACCATGCTCTCACCACACTGCCACCATGCTCACCACGCTCCCACCATGCTCTCACCACACTGCCACCACGCTCCCACCACGCTCCCACCATGCTCTCACCACACTGCCACCATGCTCACCACGCTCCCACCATGCTCTCACCACACTGCCACCACGCTCCCACCATGCTCTAACCACACTGCCACCATGCTCTCACCACACTGCCACCACGCTCCCACCATGCTCTCACCACACTGCCACCATGCTCTCACCACACTGCCACCATGCTCTCACCACACTGCCACCACGCTCCCACCATGCTCTCACCACACTGCCACCACGCTCCCACCATGCTCTCACCACACTGCCACCACGCTCTCACCACACTGCCACCACGCTCCCACCATGCTCTCACCACACTGCCACCATGCTCCCACCATGCTCTAACCACACTGCCACCATGCTGCCACCACACTGCCACCACGCTCCCACCATGCTCTCACCACACTGCCACCATGCTCCCACCACACTGCCACCATGCTCCCACCACGCTGCCACCACACTGCCACCACGCTCCCACCATGCTCTCACCACACTGCCACCATGCTCTCACCACACTGCCACCATGCTCTCACCACGCTCCCACCATGCTCTCACCACACTGCCACCACGCTCCCACCATGCTCTAACCACACTGCCACCATGCTCTCACCACACTGCCACCACGCTCCCACCATGCTCTAACCACACTGCCACCATGCTCTCACCACACTGCCACCACGCTCCCATCATGCTCTCACCACACTGCCACCATGCTCTCACCACACTGCCACCATGCTCTCACCACACTGCCACCATGCTCTCACCACACTGCCACCACACTGCCACCATGCTCCCACCATGCTCTCACCACACTGCCACCATGCTCTCACCACACTGCCACCATGCTCTCACCACACTGCCACCATGCTCTCACCACGCTGCCACCACACTGCCACCATGCTCCCACCATGCTCTCACCACACTGCCACCATGCTCTCACCACAC